GTATTCGTGTTGTGTCTGTGCATTCCTGTATGTATAGGGGACAGAAATCAACATCAGTTGCCCTCTTCTGTCATTGTCCATCTTACTTTTTTGAGACAGGGTCTCTAACTGAACATAGCAGTCACTGATGGCAAGACTCTTGGCTAACAAGCTCTGAGGATGCCTCCATCTCTATGCCCCACCAGAACAAGTGTTCAGATATGCACCACCATACCAGGTTGTTTCATAATCATTACTGTCATCATTATTATTAATAATTTTATATATGAGTACTGTATTTACAATCATTTCCCCTCCCTCCCAGCTCCTACCTCCAACTATACCTGTGTCCCCTGCTCTCTCTCAAATTCTGTTTTCTTTATTATTGTTACATATAAAAATATAACTGACTGAGTCTATTTAGTGTTCTTGTTTTGTATATGCTTTTAAGAAGGATCACTTGGTGTTAGATAACCAATTAGGAGGCTCAACCCTGGGGCAGATTGATTCTCCCTTTCTCATCAGTAATTAGTTGCATGCAACTCTTTATAAAGAGTGGAACCTTGTGATATTTGCCTTATACACATTATATACCAGGTTTTTTCCACAAGTGTGGAGATCTAAACCCAGGTTCTCATGCCTTGCTCCCAGCACTTTATTAACTGAGCCATCTCCCAGCCCATTCCTTTATTTTTTTAATTCATTTGTCTAGATGTTTCTTCTGTATATTTTTGAACCCCCCCCTTCCTGATGGAGTTAAATATCATAACTTTAAGTTTTCAAGATATATATATATATATATATATAATTTTCTTTAAATTGCCATCCATTATTGTGTGTTGTATATGCATGGTGCTAATGTGTAGGATCACCTGTCATGCCACAAGTGTGGAAGTTTGAAGGACAGTTTTGTGGAGTTGGTTCTCTCTTTCCACCTCCCCATAGGTTGCTGGGATTGAACTCAGGTCATCAGATCTGTGCATCAAGCACATCTACCCACTGAACCCTCTCACCATCCCTGTATATTGACTCTCTAAGTTTCCATTTACATGTCTGAGGCATGCAAGTATAGGAGAGCTTAGCAGTCTGGCACTCCACTTATCTTGAGCTCTACACACACCCCTCCTCTAACGATGCACCTAGCAGTCTAGGACCCTCACCCACACTAATCCACACATACATAGAACTTAAACAATAGAGTAAGTCTTTCTCTATTAGTAATAAATTCCTCTTGTGTGGTTAGTTTCCATTCAAACATTCTAGAACCTATTCAGGAATAGAGGCAATGGGCTGGCCTAAGATGGTCTTGGGTATACGGGCAGTAAGGCATAGTGTGTCCTGTGAGTGAATGATTAGGTAAAATTTCCTTTTTATATCTTTGCATAGTTGAGTATGCATATGATTAAAACCAAATGCATTATGAGAAAAGACATGCACAGTGGAGAAAGGCTTTCATAATCCAAGTCAGTCAAACGAATTGGAGATTCACCCACACTATGACCCTTAGCAACTGACTCCTCCCCCCTCCTGACCCTGTAAAAGAAAGTCCCAAACAGCAACCAATGTTCATGGTCATTCAGACATTCAAGATCCCTTACAATGTATCCTGTACTGTCTCTTTAACTGAAGCCTCTCACTGCCTTAGTAGTTGTGTGCATTTTTAAAAATTCTTTGACTAAGATAACGAGAAGCTGGAAACATCAGGTCCGGATTAAGATGACGGGTAATTCATAGATTCATCCATCCATCACTTCACCCTAACATGTAAACTGCTGAGCAGACTGAAAACTCAACAACAGTTTCCAGTCTATGGGGAGGGTATAGACCCAGGAAAATCCTTTCCCAAGACTGGAGAAACAGAAAGGTAAACACATCACAACTGACCTAGTAGAACCTTAAGACCTGGAAACTCCTGCAGGAGGAGTAGGAATATCCAAACAGTAATTGGTGCATTGCAGGAGCCTCATGTAAGAAAATCTGCAGTAAAATTCCAGGAGGACCCAGTCATGGTGTCTCTCACACTTTTGTAAGTTTCAACTGCAGAAACCAGACTGGGTCTCAGAAAATTAAAACAACTCCTCTCTGGCATATGGCGAACAGAAGACAAAAGGAACCATCTTGAAACACACCTGACCTGTGCTGTTTTGAGAGACCTAACCCTCAGGAGAGATTGGTTAACAACACCTAACCAGCTGGGGTGTTGTGAGAGCCTGACTGACCTCAGGAAAGAGAGATACAAAAATCAAGTCAATTCTAGTTAGTCAGTGTTACCTAACGAGGGTGAAAAGATGGGGGAACAATTATGAGGACCACAGTACTGAGACAAAGGCTCACTAACAGGCTGAGGCCTACTAACATGACTGCAAGACACCCCGACACCTCCCCTTCATAGCTAAAGCCCATTTACATGAGTGTGTTTCAACGAGCATAGTATGTCCATCAGTAATAATAGTAATGATGATAATAATACTAATAATAATAAACATAAGGCATACTAAAAGGCAAAAACAAATATTGAAAGCCAGAGTAAACACTATAGTCCTGGTTATATTTTCCAAGTTTAGAAAAACCAAAGCTAGAGAGATAAAAGATGAAAGAGCCAGAGGAGATGAACATTTATAGAGAACCAAAGAAAATAATCATATTTGAATTCTCTTTAGAAAACACATGTGTATGAGAAGAGAGTGTGTGGGGTATTTACAGTACTGAAATAGAAAAAGCAAAAACCAGCAAACAACAAAATTCTAGTTAGTCGGTGCTACCTAAGGAGGGTGAAATGATCGAGGAACATTTGTGAAGACCACAGTTCTGAGACAAAGGCTCACTAAAAGACTGAAGCCTACCTTTTGAAACTGTCCTTCAAACCTGAAGGAGAAAAAAAGTCACTCTCAAACAAAAATTGACAAAGTGTATTGCCAGTAGATCTCCTTCACCGGACTAGTCCCTCTGGATAAGCAAGACAATTGTTTAGCTTGAACTGTTTAGGGGACCCCAGACTGTGGGATCGGGGACCTGTCCCTAGTGCATGAGCTGGCTTTTTGGAGCCTAGTGCCTATAGTGAGACACTTTGCACAGCCTTGGTGCAGGGAGGAGGGACTTGGACCTGTCTCAACTGAATGTACCAGGCTCCACTGACTCCCCATGGGAGACCTTGCCTTGGAGGAAGTGGGAATGGTGGGTGGGTTGAGGGGAAGGCTCGGGGGCAGGAAGAGGGAAGACAGGGGAATCTGTGGTTGGTATGTAAAATGAATAGAGAATATATATGCATATATGTTTATTGTTTTTATATTTTTATTTTTATATTTATTATTGTTATAATTTTATGTTTAATATATATATATATATATATATATATATATATATATAGAGAGAGAGAGAGAGAGAGAGAGAGAGAGAGACATTAAAAGAAATTCACTCATTAGAGAAAAGGAAAGTGATACAGGTCAAAAACTTAATAGAGAGCTTTGACAGCAAACCTGAAGTAAAATCTCATTTTCCTATTCTTATATAACAAATAACAGTGCTAAAAAAATTATCAGCAATAATGCATGTAACTGTGTAGGCATGTAACTATGTATACATGTAAGTGGAGTAAATGACAATACTAGGGATAGGAAACAGAAAATAAAGGTAGTCACTGTTTTTAGATATTCAAACTACTTGAAACAGTAGGGTGTTGTTTGGGATAGAAATTATTGTAACTGAATACTGCAAACTCAAGGACAACTATTAAAAAGGGGTGTGTGTGTGTGTGTGTGTGTGTGTGTGTGTGTGTGTGTGTGTGAACAGCTCTGTGGTTAAGAGCTCTGCTCCTCCAGAAGACCCAAGGTCTGTTCCCAGCACCTGTACCAGGTGCCACGCAAACATCTGTGACTCCAGCGCCAGGTGATTTAGTGCCCTCTTCTGGCCTCCACTGCTTACTGCATGAAAGTATGCATACCCAGGGTGATGCACACACATAATAAATAATAAATTAAATATTTTAAAGTAAAACCAAAAAGAAAAAAATGAGGCACAGTTTTGTCCCAGTTATTGTCAGGAGTTGGGGCTACTAGCCAATAGAAACCATTTTATATTTTTTAAACCAATTTGTGCATGCTTCTTGCAAAATTTCCCCAAATCCATGATAGGCACCTTGAAGAAGTCTGGTCTTTACAGGCATATCACATGAACCCAGCATGGGGCTCTGCAAAGGAAGGAAACTGAATGAACTATTGTAAAATAATGATTTTTTAAATTTTTTCACTAAAATTCAGAGTATTGCACAAGATGCTACAGTATTAATGAAATTATGGGTAAAAAAATATTGAGAAAGAACAGGGTCTCAGGAAATATCAACTTTTTATTTAAGTAATCTGTTTGAGAAAGAAAACCCACATGTTGAAGCACATTCCAAACATGTTCCTTATTTTTCCAGGCCTGGCCTTCATAGAACATTCATTTCCTTATATCCTTTCATACTGGAACATATGTGATATACATTGGTCTAATGTTTCAGTTGCATTATTAGTGCATTGCTGATCACATAATGAATAATGTGTGTGTGTGTGTGCGTGTGTGTGTGTGTGTGTGTGTGTGTGTGTGTGTGTGTGTGTGTGTCTACAGGACTATGTAGGTGTGTGTGTGTGTGTGTGTGTGTGTGTGTGTGTGTGTGTGTGTTGCTTTAACCAACTTCTTGAATGTTCCTTACACTTAGAAACCCTAGAATACAAACCTAACAAAGTAAGTGTTTCATTCACAGTCTCCAGACTCAGGCCCCCTTTTCATGAATTCTGTGTGTGACTTGTTAATAAATATGGAAAATATCTGAAGGTTTACTTTCAACTCATCTTGATTTCCTTGAAAACTCTGGCACACAGCATTTGATTAAAATAACCTGGCATCGCTGGCTCCTTTGCCCACGAATACCAAGGAGTAAATATTAAAATGATGGATTCTCTTCTCCATGTCAACCATGAGTGTGTTTCAGCCCAGAGCGAGGTCTAGAAAGTTGTTTAAAAATAAACAGATGGAACCAAAGAGTAGATCTATTCTTTTATTCAAAGTTTATTAAAATATAAGAACAAGTTGGAAAAGCACACATACCACTCAGCACCGATATAACAACACTCTTTCTACTGATAATCCCCAAAGCTTTTTCTCTTGTCTGCAACTGAGAAGCAGAGATGGACACACACACACGCATTCTCATCGCATTGACCCAGCACTCTTCGAATCATGACCCAAATATTCTCCTTGCTAAGGAGACAGAGATGGGAGAGGCAGACTCATGTGACTACATCCAACCACAGACTGAGCGGGTGACTCTTTCGTCAGTAGTTATCATTTGCACACCAGTAAGCTCTGCACATCTCAGTTTCCCCCTTCGGGTGTCCGGTTATCTGGGCTTGTGAGTCTGGTGACAACGAATACAAAACTAAACAAAACTGGCCAACGTTCCCTACCCAAGATCATTTAATTGCTTTGGTTATCAAGTACTGGGTACATAGGTCTTCTCATCCCCCACTCCTGACACATAAACACCACATGGCATGGCCTGGAGCAGTTTTGAGAGAATTTTATTTATTTCCCATCTCCTTCTGTGGGCCTCTTTCAGTTTTATGTTTACCTGTTTGAATTTTTTTTTTCTCAAGACAGATGGGGGAGGGCAGTTTGAGCCAAAATAGTGACTTCATTAAACATCTGCTAGGTCTGCAAAGTCTCGGTAAATATTAAATAAACTCCCTAGAGCCCTGGTGCTGTTGCCCGAGACAGACAGCAAGCCCTGGCTTGCCTGAAAAGTCTTGTTTGGATATCTGTACATGTTTGCTTTCTGCTGGTTCAGACTCATCTTGGAACAGAGCTGAGTCTGTCAAGTCTGAGACCTTGTTTCTGGTGTTATCTAGAACACACAGCATGAAGAAGAGGCCTGATGCTTGCTCATCCTAAAGTCATTTACTGACATGCAGCAGCCATCTTCTATGCATAAGAAGTTTCACTTCAATTTTTTTCCAAATCTGTAAGCCAAGCCCTTGGGAGGATAATTCCTGCCAGCTAGCAGCTCCCTGGTTCATGCATCCTCAGATCCCTCCTTTCCTAGGGGGACTCGGGACAGTCCCAAGACAGTACCATCATCAAGTAGCAAGTGATCTTTATGTCCATTCTGGAAGTCCATATAAAGAGTGGGTTTGACTTCTGTGTTTAAGGTAATTGTAGAAGCTGGAGTAAACTAAATATACTTGAGTTCTAGTTTGAGGCTATATCATAAAGAAAGGTCCTAAAAATTAAAAGACTCACAGTCAATTTCCACTAAGAGAGATGACATTGGACATGTTCTGAAAAGCTAAAGTGCTGGTGTATGTCTTTATTTATCCTTCAATAAGACAGAAATCAGCCTAATTTTCCCCTCTGCAGCGGCCAAGGGATTCTAATTAAACTTATTTTCCAAATCATCAGTCAGAGGTCAGGTGGAACTAATGTCCAGGTTGATCCTCTTATGATGTACATAATGGGAAGCCCTGGACATCAGCAAATCCCTCTCGCTGTGGATGGAGACTACAGGGCATGCCAAGGACAGCTCATATCCACCTGAAAATCCTCTGAATAGCATAAACAGCATCTTCAACCTTCTTCTCCAGTATTTTGTGTGAGGTAGCCTCTACCTGTGACCTCACAAAGTTCTATAAATTTTATTCAAAACACAAATAGTAAAATACACTCAGGCGATGGGATCAGAGAATACGTGTCTACTGATTATTAGGAGAATTTAACTAAATTAATAGACCACTTAAAAGCAGATATTACCAAAAATTTAGGGACATAAACTATGACTGAGGTAAGGAAACAAGAGTAGAGATCTAAAGAATGAATAAAGTTAGCATGTGAGTTAAATGACAGCCACTTTGGCAACACAGAGCAAAAATAATAACTGCTCTGCCTCGCGGAGGTTCATTGCATTTGTATGACGGATGTCTACATTTGCTGGGCAGGCACTTTATTCATGCCATTCAAGAAGGTCGTTGTCCAGATTACTTCCTCTAAACCAAAGTGATGGTCTAAGATGTCTTTCAAACACTATGTATTTGAGAAATCCAGATGCTATGGTAAGTTCTTGGAAACTGTTTCAGTAGTGGTCAGGCCAATTCAGTTTAAAAGTCTAAACTGATATGCCCATGTAAACATATCTTATAGGGGGAAATGTTTATGTTCTAAGAAAAATAACTCCAAGATTACACATATATGTATGCATGTATGTGTGTGTATATATATATATATATTCTTATGAGAACATATACACATATATGTGCATTTCCTTGTGACAACTATAACTATAACTATTGAAAGGAATATACATTGTAAAAGGCATATTAAGTAGGTGGGTACTGACAGCCTAATAGTGTCACTGAGCACAAGAGCTGAGCATTGGTTTTCTTGTCTGGATTAATGACTTCTTAATTTTGTAAAAGGCACATCCTAGGAACTCATAGATGCTTCCATTGAGATAAACAGATTACAGAATCATAGGCTTGTCATACCCGGGAGACCACCCCATTCTACACAGTGTAAGATTCCTGAGCTCTGCCAATCCACTTTCTTCCTGGGCCCTTCAACAGTTTTTCTTCCAGTGTTTCTGCATGTTCTACTGAACATGTCTGTGTCCCTGACAGACAGACTATGTCTTTGTATGTTTACTTCCTCTTCTTCCTTCCTCCATTGGCCTATCCTCCAAAAGACAAATTGTATGCACATACGACCTTCTCTTTCTTAAAAAAATATAACACAACTGGGTGATTTTTTTTCCACCACTCTTTTCCCCAAACAACTAGCATCACATTAGCCAAAACTCATCCCCCCACCCACTTCTCTGACATTCTGTTCCACTATGGCACATGAAATGCAAAGGGGATATTTATGGACAACGATGTGAGTGCTCTGAAACCAATTCTTCATTTTGCTTCTTTAGGGAGGCACGTAAATCTCAACATCATTTTAAAGATTAAAATCAGTGAGGAATTCCTGATAAGCCTTGATTGCAGGCCTTAATGTTTGAGGAGTCTGAAGTAGTCTATCTTCAATATGATTTTATAACAGTTCATTAGATACCATTGCATTTTTGAAATGTACTTTGTTTCTTTGTGGGTATGTCTTACAGGATTTAAAGCACTAGCAATCTTAGATGCTGCCAAAAAAAATTAGCCACAATGCTGCTTTAATATCTAAGCAAATATGGACTAGTGATCTGACTTATTTCTTCCTCCCATTTTTAAAAACAATACTTTTGTTTCATACACACCCACTTCCTAGTTTTCTCATTTGGGACAACTATTTTAATAAGATACTTTTGACTTTAGATTATTTTTTCCCATACAGTTCAATTTTAGATTTAATTACTGAAAGGGATAGACATAGAAACCATTTAATTTGACATGTAAATGTAACCATATGTTGTGATGTGAAAGTCTTTGAGTTTAAAAAATAATTATGATACAACATCAGTTGGTCTGTTTTTTTGAGGTTGTGATCTTTAGGTATTGCTTGTGGGTGAAGCTTGTTTCTTTTATTTTAAGAGAAATGTATCCATAGATATTTCATAGTTATGCACATAGTTACTAAACTTCAACTAATGGGTTAACCCCAGTTAAAGGAAAACCAAAGTCCAAATTCAAATGTCAGTGGAAATTCCATTTTACCAAATCCCCATGACATCAATGATAATCTATGTCTAAGCCTTCAGAACTATGGGTGGAAATCATCAGAGTAAATTGCTGTCATGTTTAAGTAAAGAAACCCATTATCATTAGAGTTCACCTACTTTAGGAGAGGGAAGGAGCTGAATGGCTAGGTACCCGGCTCCTACACCCTTCCCTCAGCATCCAGAGAAAACAATGCTTCAGAGATTAAGAATGGAGGGGAGTGTAACATTGTAACTGTAGGAAATTGGCAGGAACGACCCAGTAGCACCAGACTCCCTGGATTTTCCCTTATAGAGTATCACCCACTGAAATGGGTATATCACATACAATTCTATACAGTAATTATCTCCACGTTGAAAACATTCACCCCCTTTTTTTTTTATCTTCCCCACCTCCCCTTTCCTCTCAGTCTAGGTATATTGCTACACTTCATGGTTCCACCTGTACCCTCCCTGTGCTATCTTTAGTCAACCCCTTTCTTTTCCCAGCTGTGTACATACTTCCATGCTGGTGTGGTTGAATGACACTCTCATTTCCTACATCTTCCAGGTAAAACACTATGCAATTTCCTCCTCTTCATGCTCCCTCTTTCCTTGTTTGTCAAGTTCCTTTTCTCTGACCTAGTGCTCTCTCCATCTGCCAGATTTCCAATGTCATCTTAACCCTCCAGGTTGGAACCCATTCTTGGTATCTACATATACGCTTGGGAATTCTAGGCTACCGAGACTAGCAAAAGGCATTGCATGGCTAGAACTAACACCTCAGTCCTGAGTGCACAGCATGGCTTCAAGATCACATTATAAGTATTTGGGGGACTTTCCAGTTGGGTTTGTTCCTGATGACTAAAGCTGAGACAATACACTTAATCAGATCATAGGTGGTAGCTCCCTTAGCACTAAGTATTTAGGGAACACTTGTTCTCTGGTCCCAAAGCACACATAGAGCAGAATCACTTCTTTTGCAAGCAAGGATGAACACAGTGCATCAGGTTTTCTTCCACTCCAACTTGGATCCGTTCACTCAGAAGGCTGCTATTTAGCCCGATGCCACTTGTGTACTAAAGGACATATTGAAATGTTCAGAGGTCTATGTTTTCTGACAAGTATATCCCTGTCTTTCAGTGAGGCAATGGGATTCAGTTGAAATAGTAGATTCAGTTCCGTTCTCAACTTCTTTTACATATTTTTTAAAATAATAAACACTATTGCAATCACACCTTTAACCAGCTAATCTAGAATTCATCTCTTGCTGAAATTCTTCTCCAGCCAACTCCGGACTTCTTGGAGGTTGTAGCTGAAGGGGCCCTTCCCCCCTAAATAAGCAATTTTCTGTCTCTGCACGATGCACACACGTTCAAAGGCTACTCCATAAGCTACGTTGGCATTATTGTCCATGCGGTCAGCCACAACTTGACACTGGGGCGGTAAGGAGAAACGCTCCAGGAGCTGTTGGGCTGCTGCGCATCGGTCCTCTTGGTTCCGGTGTTTCTTCACCTCAAAAGACAGAGAGGAGTCCCCAGGCACTGCCCAGCCATCTGAAGGATGAGCCTCATCAATGTATACCAACAGGAAGTCAGCCACAGATGAGAACTCTTCCACCAACTTGCGGAAGGCTGGCAGTTGCCTAGTGAAAGGTGGTCAAGTGGCTGAACCAAAGTTGACCACCAGTGGGCGCTCTGCATTGGCAAAGTCAAGGAGGTGGCATTCCGTCCCATCAGCTGTCTTCTCCAGGGCATATTTGTTACCTGCTTCAGGATTGGACACATGCACCACACTGGAATTAGGGGCATCTTCACCCAATTTAACCTAATGTTGAAAAAAGAAAAAGAAGAATTACCGCATTAAACACATTGCTACTTCAATTTACTCTAAATACAATGGGTTCTAATACATATGTATATGTATGTATATATATGTGTGTGTGTATATATATATATGATCTGAGTAAAAACTAGTTATGTCAAGTAACATAAAGGATGGTCAACAGGGAATAAAAGTCTTCCATCCTGAATATTCATTAGAGGTAATTCTTTCCATCTCTGAAGACACTGGAATGAACTGTTTTCATAATTAAGTTGATTCTGGTGTTCTTTGCTGTTCTCACTACTCTGCCAATGCCTAACAAGCATTATAGAATGAATGATTAATTGACTTCATTTTAAAAGTTAAAAGTAAATGGTCCACTTTAAGATAAATTATCTCATTTTTGGAATGGACTGCCTCTTTCTGAATTCTAAAAGACTTAGGCAAGACCTGAGTTTTCACACACATGAGTTTCATTTATTTTCTCTTTTCTCCTCTTTTAAATAATAATTTATTACGTTTGGTTGGTTGGTTAGTTGTTGTTGTTGTTGTTGTTGTTGTGTGTGTTTTAGCACTTGTGGAGGTCAGAGGACAACCTGTTGGAGTCAGTTCTCTCCTTCGACCATGTGGGTCCTTGAGTTCACACTCATTTCATCTGACTTGGCAGCAAGCGTTGCCCAGCGAGCCATTTCACCAGCCCAGTGTAAGCCCTGTACTATCGACCAATGAACCAGAAGACCAGTGGGTTCTGTCTCTGGGCAAAGCTGGACAAGCTATAATCCACCATTTGTAGGTAGGATTCCTCCCACTTGCCCTTGCCAATGCTTTCCCACCTGGAAAATGTAAGCAATTATGCCTGCTTTTCTTATGTGGCTCCTGGAGGATAAGATAAGGAGAGGAACTCTATAAATGACTGTGTAAAAGTAAGAACTGCCACTGTCGGACAGCACCCCACCACATAAGGCACCACTCTTCTTAGAAAATCCTGTGTTTAAAAAAAAAAAGGGGAAAATTATCCTAAGAAGAGATTTATGCTCCCCTCAGCACACCATCATGTGGTCTCTGCAGGTCCTTGTGTCTACTGCTCACATTATGCATGGTATGGCTAGACCCTCAAAGCTGCCCCTGGGGAAAAAGAAAAAAAAAAAAACAGACAAGAGAAACAGCAACTCCACAGTCTGACTTTCAGCTAAGTTCTCACTTTCCATGTATATTTGTTTTTTTTCCCACACTTCTATATAGGAAGACCCAAACCATGTGCTTCTCTACCATATAATTTATTAGCAAGGCCCTCAGAATTATAAGCATTCAGATGTTGACTAAAATTATTCGATGAACCCCTTAGCAGCACATGGTTGAAATAGTTGAACACAAAATACTGAAAGTTAGTGGTCTTTGGATCTGTAAATTGATAATAAAAAGCAGGCAACAGAAAAGAGCCAATTATTTCATTCAGAATGAACACAATTGGGATTTCTTCTAGAATGGTTTAATCAAAGCTAATACCATTAGAGATAACTTAAAATGGTACAATTGATTTTTATACACTATCCTTAATATTACAAAACATTTCCAACTGGATCGACTTATTTCTCTCATACAAATATAGTCCCATATAAAACTACTGTTAATTGAAGCTACTTAAAAGGGGATTGCAGGAGAGCAATGATGCACACTGATATAAAACACTCAAGGGATTTTTGTTCAGATGTTTTAATGTCAAGACATAACTTATTTTCTCTTAGAGAAAGAATCAAACTTCTTTCTTACTCTTCTCAAAATTGTCAGGGCTGGATTGAAATAGGTACTAGTAGTGGTCCAAAAGACATCTTAAAATCTTAGTCTTCCTTAGATTTAAATAAATATATTTTGATTTAGTAACAACCAAGAAGAAAGTTACTTATATGAATTATCTTGGCTATTTTATAATCAATATTAGATAGAGGATTCTCAAAATTCACCTTTGGCCAGAAGATCTCAGAGTTAACTACTCTGGTCTTTGAAACACTGAAATACACATTAAACTTAAAGACACATTTTAGGCATATGATGAGCTTGATACTTGTTCTTAAATAAGATTACAAAAGGGCTTTCCATTACGTCTAACTTCCCTTCACATCATACAATAATACCAAGACTGCTTTAAACACCACTGGCTGTGAAATATTCCCCAATGGCCTGTGATAAGAAGGCCTGGATGCATTCTGATGCGTGTGTTGTAGAGACTTCTTGTTAGATCAGAAATTTTTCATAGAAGGAAATAACCTCTGCACTGCAGATTAAAGGATTCATACTGGGTGGAAGCATTCATCTGCATTTTTGGAGCCATTGTTGAGCTTTGTGAACAGTTGTGTGGTCTTGGTAAACAGGCCTAGGTCTCCCTGGCTCTCACCCAAGCAGACCTGCTGATCCTTGTGTTATCCTTGACTATTCACCTGAACAATCCAATCTGATGTTTTGGTCACAGACAATCTCTTGTTACCTGCAGTTAATTTCCTTGGAAAGATTAAGTGCATGTCACTTCTTAGAGACAATGGACAGTTCAGCCACACAATTCTTTCCAAAACAAGGAAATTTTAGTTTCTAGATTACTTTAGGAAAATGTAGGACAAGCATCACATACTGTCACTCTAAATTTAAAGTTTAGAGAAGTCAACAATTTTTAAATGTCTCTAGTGGTGGAAGTGTTGGGTGTTTCATTAGTCTGGAAAATATACATCTTAAGCTTTATGGAGTGAATTATTGAATAAATTCTGGTTGCTATAATTCTAGGTCAGGGAAGACTTTTACACTGAATAGCAACCTTGACTTGCAGTGAACACAGATAGATGATTGACAAACACACTAAAGCATATACATTCAGAAACAGGAACCCTACCCTTTCACCAAAGACCTGCTGTAGTCAACACCATTGTCATTGACATAGTCTTACTTATTTCAGCTAGCCAGTGAATAAAAGAAATGAGATCAATCCTCTACTTTGTTTTGCAGCTTTGGTATTCTATTAAACACTAGGAAGTCATGTATGATTACCTTATTCATGAAGGTCACAGACTAGAGAAAATACATAGGCAAGATTAATGGTACTAATAAAATTAAGTACACTGAGGCACTAGTATCCATAAAGCCCCAGGTTTGAGTACCAGAATAACAAAATAAGCACACACACACACACACACACACACACACACACACACAGAGAGAGAGAGAGAGAGAGAGAGAGAGAGAGAGAGAGAGAGAGAGAGAGAGAAACTCACACCTATGATGTGTAAGCCCAAGTGTGAGTAGATCAGTAGCAGATTTTATAAGCCTCATAAAACTCATCACAAATTCTAAAACCTGATGGGTTTTAGATAAGTTGGCTAAAATCTTAAAAAACAGGCTTAATCTTAAAAAAAATCTTTTAAATTCATTCTGTTCATTGTCACCTCTTTGCCTGAATCATTATGAAAATGAAATTTCTACTAGATTAGAATTCCCAGTGGAGAATTTCTGGATTTTCTTGGCTAGAAACCCTGCTGAGATGGAATGGGAGAAACCCCACAGCCTTCACAATGGAAGAAGACAGGAGCAAAGTACTCCCTGACACAGAGCCAAAATGATGAAGAGAATAAAGTTGGTCCCATAATAACATCGAGGCTACATAAAAAACGCTCAACAAAAATAAATCATCCCCTGGTACTCCCAAACTTTTTTTTTAATTTCCCACAGTGGCATAGAAAGTCTCCTGGCCACAAGTTACCTATCATCTTAATTTCTGCTTCTTACAGGGTTTGTGTTTGGTTTTTGTCCTTAATGAGACATATTTGCCAAAGAGGCATTCAAAAGGCATTTTTTTGCTCTTGCGGAAGAGTAATTAGGTCGGTACCTCTTTCCCTGCCAGCATCAGCAGCCTAAAGAGAACCCTGCCTAGTATTTAATGCCCAAACACAAGAAGCATCATTTCCACTAATTGGTCTTGAAGTTCCGATGTTCCCAAAGGGTCTCTTTATTTTGCAAGGATCAGAAAGGACACACGTAAAATGTGATAGCGTCACCACTGACCTTTATCGCTCTCATCTGCACTATTACAGTCATCCTTTCTTACATTTTTTTCAGTGGACAGGAACACAATGCCCACTAAGGGAGTGGGTGAGGCATTTGCAAGTTTACTGCTGATGAAATCTCTGGGCCAAGTTCAAAGGTGATAGCAGACATGTTTATAAACATAAGCAAAGCACAAATGCATAGTATATATAAGAATTTGGCTCCCTTGGTGATGGGTTCCTTTTGAGGACACTGTTGAGTGCTTAGGGAATAGAAGATAATGTTACAAGATGCAGACCCAAGGGAAATATGGAACCATTCTTTGAATAAACTGGAAATGTAGCATATACTGCCAATCTTGTTTTTGTTTTTGTTTTTTCCACAGCCTAAGAGGAGCTTTTGAGTAACTTACCACACACTCCCATGATGAGTAGTGAAACCAATTACAACAATGGAGGACGGGCATGTACCAGACTATTTAGACAGACTTTTTGTCATCCAAAGCACTGGAAATTAACTCTCAGAAAGTTTCCAATTCTTTAACATAATGATCAGGCTACACCAATGTCCTTAGAAACATGGCCAAACGATCATTAGGCAGAGCTTTAGCCATCCCCATTCAGACAGGCCAAATAAATCAGACTTGAAGAACTGCCTACCTACTCCATCTTCTGGGTTAAGTTCCCTTTTTTTGGCTATTCTCTTTTTGATTTGTATCTTGAAAATGAAGTTCGAAGCCCTATCATTTCACTATGTTTTATCCAAGTGACAGACAAGCTCTGGCTGTGGCCTTCTTTGTGTATTTTAGGACAGTTTCTCTCTTTAAAGAGCCACTTTTCACTGCAGAAGCCGGTGTCAGAAGGCTTGAGGTGAATAAAGAGAAGGAGGAGAATGTTAAAGAGACCCTTTCAAAACCAAAATTATATGTTCCAATGAGCATGTTTTCTGTACCACTGCAACATTAGCCGTGCAGAAAGGAGCCTGCTTGTCAGCGTCTATACTGTCTGCTTACTTTTACACTTCATTTAGGTAAGAGCCAGGGTCCAAGGGAGGACAGCTTGCTCACAAGTCGAATATCTATGTCTGTGAGGACCAGCACAAGGGTACAGTGTTCACAAGCAAAGAGACTGAGGAAACTTAAGTAATAAATATCTGTTATTTGCTCCAACATTTTCACCAGTCTCCAGATTTTTCTTTTCAATCCAGATTGCACACAAGGCCTCCTGACCATTACCAAGCCCATGTGATCTTAGATAACTTCTTTACAAAGTTGACTTTAAATCACTTTTAAAGTTCCAATGCAGTTTTTACTGTTAGCATTTCATTCTGTTCTTCTTCCCTCTCCTCACTCAGTTCCCGCCTCTGTCACCTCCTCAACGAACAAATCCAGTGCCTCTAAATATCTTCGCAAATATAATAGCTGACATTCACGAACCAAGAAAGTTGGGAGTAATGAATGATCTGCCTAATTGAATCCCATGTGGACACACCCCCTCCTCCTGGAGAAATCTGCTTCAGGGTGGCAGTCGCCAAATAATGCAAGTCAAGATTGTGAAATCCCAAGATGCAATGTCAGACAGGACCTCCTCCAGCATCTATGGAAACAGTCACGCCTAAAGACAGTGTGCCATGGATGACACAGCATTTGGCAAATGATTCAACCTGTTTGAGAGGTTCTGAGTAAGCTTCTGAGGCCACCACATGCACCATGGTGCCAGTCATACTCCAAGACAGAAGAGGACAGAATTTAGCTCAAGTTGTACTCTTAATGTTTTCATTTATCTCACACTCAGCCCAGCCTTGTCTCTGGCTGTGTGTTTTCTTGGGGCTTCTTTTGCACATAGTAGCTATTGTATAAATCACTAAAAGCAAGCATAATAACAGAAGTCATGAACTGGGTCACTAATCAAATCAGTGAGCAGAGACAAAGAAATAAATAAGAGGAATACACAAACCACATGCCAAAAGTAAAAACAAATCATTCATCTTTCTCAATTCCCATGAACACAAATAACAACATATTGCAACACAATGGAACACTATATGTAAGTGAAAAAAGATATAATGAAGTTTATTATAGGGATATTTGCTTGTTTTTTCCTTTTCCACTTCAATGATCTTGATGAGGAAATACCTCAATTAATGTTTTTGGGTGCTTTTGTAGCCTCCAAAGTTGATATAAAAATAATATTGATATTCTGTACATATCATGTGGGTAAAATTCTTCAAAAATTCACTCTTTACTTTTTCTAAGCAGAAGTTCATTGTCTTTCAAAAGTCAAGCTCTTAATACAATGAGACCAAACCACTAGCGTTCCATATTATGTAAGACATGGTACATAGATATAGTTAAAGGGATTGACTAGTTGATAATATTTTAATGTACAAGCATAATGCCCCACTCCTCCAAACTCCTGACACTTAAACATACATGTAAATGTCACATTCTGTGTGCACATCTGTGGGAATGGAATTATCTCTCAGTATCTCCATGCCCATACCTTTTATTATATGATACAACTATATATATATATATATATATATATATATATATATATATATATATATATATATATATATATATATATATAATATAACTGAGATTTAACTACAGGAAATTCTGGGAAGCCATTCCTATCCTGATGAGGGCATTCCTGCTTGCTAAAAAGAGGCTTGACATTTGACATGCCCTCAGCACAACAAGAGAGAATCTTCTTCAGGTTACTTGAAATAATAATGTCATGAATCACACAGCCTGTTCACAAAAGGCATTTTCTTCCTTAGTATTTGCTTTCCAGTGAACACCCTGCCTTGGATGCTTTACTTTTATTTCCCTGGCACATGGATTGATTTTTCCAATGTTTATTGGGAGGGGGGACTCCTTCCCTTCCTCCTCTGCTATTCTGAGTTTCCATCATGCTGTCTACCATTCCACCTGTCTGAAGAATGCCACTTGGTTAAACATCTGGCTTCACAATTGTAAACTCCCTTCTCCAGCAAGTTATCCCAGTACCCCTAGGGACATATTTCCTCCTTTTGTAGAAACTTCTTTCCAAATGTATTCATTCTTCCTAACACCAAGGATGCTCCAGGAGTCCTATGAACCTAAGGGATGAGAGCAAAGACATGGAGGACTATATAAAAGTATTCCTCTTTGCCCTGACAGACACCATTTGAAAATGTTCCCCCAACATCTCTCAGCAGCAGAAAAGTTGGAACACCAGAAGTTTTCGCTTAAAAACATCAGTCGCCTCCTCTGGTGTTTCAAATGCTGATGGGAACATACTTTCACCAGGTAAGAGAGGTCGATGTTCTAATGCCCAAAGCCTGACCTTGGAACACACAAGAGACCCATCAGCGCTTTCTGGGGCAAATTATTTATAGGTTTGGTTTCACATACCAAGTTTGGCTTCCTGACACTTCCTAGACCTTTCTTTTGCAAACTGACACTTAATAACTAGGAATCCACAAAATCCAACCAAGTAGATGGCTGTCCTGGGCTTGTTTCCATTAGCTATTACCTCTTCAAGTTTGAAGGGGCTAGGGTGTGGTCACAGCCATCATCATCACCACCACCACCATCATCCTCATCACCGTCCAACTCTGACCATTTCAGCAGAAAGGTAACATTATTCAAACCTTCCTACTACATCTCACACAGGCTCCTGTCAAGCAAAGCAGCAGAACCCAGCTCCGGCCAAGAGCAGAACAAATGTCGCTCCCAGTCTCCAACAATTCTGACTTTACCCAGAGTTATTTCACCACCACCAAACCCCCAAACTGCCAAATCAGAACAAAGTAACAGCAGCTCTCATTAAAGACTCCTGCTGAGGTCACCCAGAGTCACGATGGCTCAATATCTGTCACTCCCAAATCTAACCTGTGCAACAGGTGTCCCAAGTGACATTGAGACTCCCTTGAACCTAATCACTGGGCAGGCCACCCCAGACAGGACTCCCCATGGCCTGCAACCCCATACCTTCCAGTCCCCTGGCCCTGCTGACCCTAGGAGAAGCCCAGTGGGTGCAGCTCACCTGTTTGTAGGCATCTAGGAGGAAGCTCTTCCAGACACAGCGCAGTCCCTCGGAGGTCAGCATGCGCCGCCACTCTCCGCGAGTGGACTTGGAGCGGCTGAGCAGCAGCGCCACGTGCTTGAGCAGAATGACCGAGTCATAGAGCGCCAGGAAGAGGCAGTTGGAGAAAAAGACTGGCAGAATCTGTAGTGTAATCAGCAAGTCTACGCTGAGGAGTCCCATCTTCTCTGCCTCCTCAATCTGGCCCCTTGTGCACTCTGCTTTCCCCTTCACCCTCTTTTTGAAAAGGAAGGTGATGGTAGAGGAGGTAGGGGACCAGGGGGGGGGAGGTTGGGAGTGGGGATGGGAGAGGAGAAAAACTAAATTAGAAAGAAGCCCAAGTTGTCTCTTCTTTGAAAGAAGCAGAAATAGCAAGAGTAAGTCCGGTCTCTGCAGTCCAGCAGTTGGAGTGTGCCCATCAATTCATTCAATTCCGAGATGCATTTTTTTTTTCAGGATTTAAGATGGTTTAAAAAAAAATAAAGGAAAGAAAAAAGAAAGAAGAAAAACCCTGGTACCAGTCTCTAATCCAGTTACCCCTGTCAGAGTCCGTTAAAGACAGGAAGCTCTACTTTCATTTCCAGGCACCTATGAGACTGCAGAGATGGTAAAAATTTTCTTTTAGCTTTTCATGTTCCTTTAAACGCAGTCTGACTTCTTCTTTGCCCTGCCAATTTCTTAACTGTGCTGTGAGGTTAGGCTTTTGTTTGTTTTTTTCTTTCTGTCTGTCTGTCTGTCTTTACTCCGTTTTCAACATACTTTCTCTTCTCCTCCTCCCAGCCTGCCTCTGTCTGTCCTTTCTCCAGGTTCTCCAGGAGCGGCTGAGTCCTCTGCCCCCTCCCTCTGCCTTTTCCTCTTTGCTATCTTCTGCCTGCGCAGCAGAAGAGTGCCTCTCTCTGCAGCCCAGTGAGTCTCCCTGAAGCCTTTTATACATTCCCTGGCTAATTGCTGCAATAGAGAAATGAAAGCCTAATCTTGCTAAAGATCTTGACGTCATTGAGAAAGAGGGCTTTACTTTGGCCAGGAGTGCAGTGAACAGAAAAGCAAAACCCCACAACTTTTTTTTTTTTTTGAGAAGGGGTGGGGGAAAAGACAGTGGGATTTTGCTTTGTGATTTAAAGGGAGAGAAAGGGGGGAAAATCACCTTTGACGGCTTTCAGGAAATGCTTCCAAACTTGAAGAAAAATAATTTGTAGATTAATATGTTAACACTTTCCTCTGACTGTCATTTTTATTAGCTTAATCAGGAGTTTTGGCAGTAAAGAGTCCTGGCAGGCAGGGAGAAAAGGGGAAGAGTGAACATAGATGGGTTTCTCCTCATATATTTTTTAAGATATTAATGTTTCTATGTGAGCTTTACACCTTTATATCATGACTGTTTTTGATTTTTTTTCCCCACCAGATTTGGGTCCTGTGAACATGTTTTGTTTTGGTTTTTTTTTAGTAATGATCTTATCTAAGGGAACACAAAGTGAGTTTTGAGTTGGAAAAGTTGTAAATTATTGAGATCACCACAGTATTTCTTTAAAGCCTATTCCCGAACTCAATACAAGTGTTATTTTTGGTTTTATTGAAGCTTCAACTTAATAATAATAATAACCTTCCAGGCACAGAAGGAACTGAGTGACCAAATCTTTTAGTGTCATTTTCCCTCAATACTGATAAAACAAACTTTCCATTCATTGACATTCAGATGCAACGAGGCTGAGAAATCGATTATTTATGAGAGTTCTTTAAATTCAGCTCTTCTAAGAGGCCTGAAGATTTAGGGAATCTTTTTTTTTCTTGGCAAATAAATAAATAAATAAGTCTATAGGTGGTTAAGAACACATCAAAAATTGGTGCCGGGCACCCCATGGACCTCAATGGCTTCCTTGCTTTTTGGTCTCCAAGACAGTTATTTAGGAAGGTCCATTGCAGCAGCAGCTCATCACCCCCACCTCCTTCTACTTGTCCTTCCTCTCTTGCCTAACAGATCATCTCTGGGAATTACCTTTTCCTGAGAGAAGCAGCGGTAATTATAGACACTTGGGTGGGGGCATAAAATTGTAATTGAAAGTTAATTAGTTGAGTTTTCTATGTGCACAGAGTTCCCATTAAGCACGAGCTGAACAGTGGATACAAACAGGTGGTCAGTCTCTTGTTCTTACATATTTTTCCCTCCATACATGACAGAAATTAAAAGCCTAGACAGAGCAAAGTCATTCTTTGTAGGGAGCATGGGCTAAAAATCTGCATATGGATGTATTTTGTTCAATTGGCGAGGTACTTTTGAAAACTAGAAAAAGGAGAGGGTAATATCTGTGTGACCCACAACTCTTGTCTGTACATTGCCATCTCCCCAGCACTTAAGAATCCTGGTTGGCACATGTTCAGCTCAGTAGAGATGTTCTGAATGGATGAATACTTAGGGCATGTAGAGGGCTCAGCTTGCTTCACACTAGGGGGCGCCATTCACATACAACATGGCACAGTGGAGAGGTGCCCTGCAATTCTAAAGTGAGGTAACTTTTGCATGGCCCTCCCCAAAGACAAAGGCTCCCTATCGTATTATCTTTTCCTTTTTCTTTAAGCATCAGTTGTGATGTTTGGGTATATGCCCCATGGACTACATTTTTAGAGGAGACTTCAGATGTTTGAAAAATTAACACAAACGACAGAACATCTGTCCTTGGACCAGCATTTGCTGTTTGCAAAAGACTCTCACTCACACATACAGTATTTGTGTGTTCAGTTATTTCTCTCAAACTTCTCAAAGCCTTGATGGGAGGAAAGAAAGGACAAAGAGATGGAGGTGAGTGTAGTATCTCAACTAGTGTAGATGAAAACACTTCAATATCTGTGAAGTCACTGTCAAAGATGACAGGAGGTGTGGTCCCCGGGGAATAAGGCTCCTCAGTGCCCAACCCTGAAAAGCTCAAGCCTTCACAGAGCTCTTCTGAGACAGAGAAAACTAAACCAATTCTCCTTCCCTTGCCACTCGCTCTCAAGCTCTAAGGTGTGACTGGAAATGGCTTCTTAAGAAGAAAGATTAGCGGGATCGCAGAAAATGCTTTCTTTTCACGTGCAAAGCACAGAATTAGAAGTAGTTACAGATCAGAATTATAACTACTGGGTGCAGTTTGTTCCCATTTTTTTTCTTTCCTTGTTTTGAGATTAGAAATGTTGGAGTGGGATTTTAAAATGTAGGAAAATGAGTAGCTCATAACCAACCTGATAAAATCATTTGTCAAACTTCTGTTGATTTTTTTCTAAGTAAAATGAATCATAAAACTGAGCATCTTCTCCCATCTGGACAGCACCTCAGAAGAAATTACAACCCTCCGAAGCTAGGTCTCTTTCTATATACGTGGTTCCCAGTTGCTTATTATAATTATTCATGATATTTAGCATTTTTGATCTTCAAGTGATTTTCTACTCTTTAAGTTACAGAATAATCATGATGTGGCAGCATATGGTTTTCCCTATCACATGATGAGGAAAAGTGGGTCAGCATGGTTGGAGGGTCCAGTGGTGTGGGATATTTCTCTGAACTCCAAACCTCACTGTTCTTAACAGCTGTTTTCTTGTTCCTGGTCATGGCTCTGAGAATCAAAAACTCTTGGTGAAGTTGGTTCAATGGGAATTTTATCTTCTAAATTGCAACAAATATCTGGGACTCAACATCTGTTTAATATTGCTCCAATTCAATCCCTTGGTTCAGATATCATATCTCATTGAAAAGGTTTGGATATTCACTGGTCATGAAATTGTCCTGAGCAGTCAATATGCTAACAAAGTCAATGTAATCCAGCAGATGGTATGGTGGTTGAATTTCCCCAGACAATGTTGTGCACCAGTTTTCATTCCCAAAGACACAGCCCAGGGAAAAACACTCTAGGCATTTTTTAATGAGTACAGAACCACTATAAAATTGTTAGAGATTTCCCACTTCTTTTCATAGTATGAGTGCATCAGCTCCTGCTATTGACTCCCTCTGGTTGGAAAAAAAAGTAATAAATGATGAGTCTTTCTTTCATCTGCTTGCTTTTGGCTCTTCAGTTGAGATTAAGAAAATGAAGCTGGGTGACCTGAAAGCCTACTTGATATTTTGGAGCGTGGCAGCTGCCACACTCTTTCCTTTATTCTCATCTTAAAAAGAAAACAAATACTCAAATGATTTTGCCACTATGGTATTTCATGCCATGGGCATACAAGCAACCTTGGTTTCAACCATTATAGTCTGCCTCATTCGTATGATTTGTCAAGTGCATAATAAACGTGAGGTTTTATCTTTTAAAAAATATCTATAGAATAAATGCAACAATTAATTCAAAAATCATGGAAATGACCACTATGCTGACTAAGGCCTTGCAAATGGTGTTTTCTTGACATACTTCACTAAATATGTGTTCTAATCAGAAAACGAAATCACAAAATACACAACTTCCTGTCTCTAGTTCTGGTTGTGCTTGACAGGGAGCTGTGATGCAAGGTGTCTACCACAAATACTGATTCCCTCTAAATTCCCCGTGGGCCCATCCCTTCTGCAAACACAGCCATGTTCCCTGCCTTCCCGCGATGAAATGTGCAGCTCAATGGGCAAAATACACAACCCCAGAGTCAACCCTGACACACCTTAAACAAAGCAACTCAGAGCTGAGGCAGGGCAGGCGCGCACTGTGGGAGGTGAGAAATGCTCTCCCTACAGCCCTTCCCTAGATCCCTGGCAAGTGTTGGCACCTGGGAGGTGTTAATGCATTCTTCCCTCAGGAACTGAGGCTGCTCATTTTTAAAGGCCACCTACCTCAAGCAGAAGAAGGGAACCGAAGAAAAGATTTTTAAAAAAGACAACAAAGGGGAGGGGAGAGGAAGTAAAAGTGATAATAGAGGAATTTGAGAAAATGTTGGCTCAGTGGGTGTCTGAGGTTGTTATTGCCGTGATAAAATACCATGGCCAAAAGCAACTTGGGAGGAAAGGGTTTATTTCACCTTAAACTTCTAAGTAATAACTCATCACTGAGCGAAGTCAAGGTAGAAATTCAGTGCAGGAACCTGGAGGCTGGAACTGAGGCAGAAGTTGTGGAGGAGGGCTGCTTACTAGCTTGCTCCCCGTGGCTTGCTCAGTTTCTTATACAACCCAGGACCACCTGCCCTAGGGATAGCATGTCCACAGTAGACTTGCTCCCATCATTCCTCAAGAAAATGCCCTACAGTCTTGCCTACAGGCCAATCTGATGGGAGTATTTTCTCAACTGAGGTTTCTCTTCCCAGATAACCCTGGTTTGTGTCAGGTTGACAAACACACACATACACACACACACACACACACACACACACACACACACACACACACACACACACACACATACACACACACGAGAGGACAGTGGGTAAAGTACTTTCTGTGCGAGCCGGATGAACTTTGTTGGATCCCTAGCACCCACATAAAAGCCAGCATATGCTATAATCCCAGTGCTGGGTAGTTGAAGACAAGTAGATCCCTCTGGCTCAAATACAATCTAGCCTAGTTGGTGAACCTAGGTCCCAGTGAGAGAGACCCTGTCTCAAAAAGAGCAAGGAAACAAGTTGGGTAGCACATGAGGAACAATACCCAAGGTTGACCTCTGGCTTCATGTCTTCTTACACATAGAAGCACAGATGACCAATTATACACCTATAAAAACAACATAATGGGAAGTAGAAAAAGGCAAAGGCTCAATGAATTACCTGTGGAGGCTGCCACAAGAAAACCAGTTAATGTCCATTGTGGAGATGCCTCTCTTGAGGAAGACAGCTGTCCAGAACCTGGATTGCAGCCACCTCATTTCTCAGAGGCCACTAAACAGCTGTTAAGAAGCAAGAATGTTCAGTTGCTACCTGACCTGGTCTGTATTAAAATGGATGGCCACTCTCCAGCCCTCATGATACAAATGTC